TGAGGTCGGCTCTGCGGAGCCCGCCCCAAGCGCTCACGGCAGCCCCATGTGCGGCCCTGCCCTGGCACGCACTGCACGGGTGCCAAATCCCCTCCTGCTCCAGCCTGGCCGCGGCGGGTCCTCCGCGAGGCTGGCGCTCCCGTGCCACCCGGCGAGCCCGAGGCCACCGCGTGCGATACAACCTGTACCTGTTCCTCCGCCGGTGTCGTGTTTCCAGCGACCTTTTAAGCAGAGGGACTCGCGGGGTTTCGCATGCTGGCAGCACCTGCAGCCGCGGCGCCGGAGCGGCTGTCGGAGCGGCCCCGCATGCAGAGCGGCCGCTGCGCGCTCCGGAGCAGCACTGCAAGCTCCCGAGTGAGCGCCACGGGCCGCCACGGAGACAGAGCTTCCCTCTGCATGAGGGACAAGGGGGACGTCGAACTGGGGAATGAACCCTCCTTCTCCACTGCTCTTCTTCCTCCATGGCCGTGTATGGGCCCTGCTTCTCCTTCAGGATGCTCTTATTCACCTGCTCTTCTGTTTTCATTCAGCAGTTTAGATTGTCTCGGCGTGATAAGGGCTGCAGGAGTTGAAAGTTCTTATCTGCCTCTGTTGCCGTTGGTGTTTGTTTGTTTTTCTGGAAGCAGAAAAGGCCGTCAGACTTTTTCATTTTCTCGGTGTGCTTAGTCACAGCCTCGGAAACACAGGCTGTTGTTCACAAAAGTTGACATATTAAGAAAATTCAAATTTCCTGTGTGGCCTTGTATGGAGAAATCTCTTTAATTTTCAGATTGGAAAATGTTGAAAATACGCATTCTAGCAGCATATTTGCTGTACTGTGCCCTGGCCTCCTGCACCTGCACATCCCTTCCCTTCCGGATCCTTTCCTCCTGATGGCAAAATTTCCCGTGCTTGTCTCTTCCGAGCCCCCTGGGACAAGGCAGAGGCGCTTCAATGCTGCAATGCCAGACGCAGTGGCTCTTGGTGGCGGCTCCACGGGAGGCAGGTTGGGGTCCTGGGGCCGGTTCTGGCCTTCCCCTTCCCATATCTCGCTCTTGCCTATCTCCCTGGCACAGCTGGGGCCTTCCCAGTGCTGTCCCACCAGGATACCTGTTCCCCAAGGGAACAGTTCCTTGAACCCATCGTGAAGCTCTAGCTCAGCGAGAGTCCCGCAGGGTCTCCGCTCCGCCGGGAAAAGCCGCTCGGTTGCTGGAGTCCTCCGGAGCTTCCTCGGCACCGCTGTCCCTTCCGTCCCGCCGCGTCTCCGCAGCACAAGGAGCCTCGTTTGGTGTCTTGGAAGCGCCTGGCATTGGATGCGGAGCATTTTCCTCCTCAAAGGGGTGGTGGTTAAGTGGTTTCCTACTTTGAAATGAGTAAACTTCCAAACCACTAAGCTGGTGAGTATTGACTGACTCACCGATGGGATTAGTGGAGATCAGCTGCATTATGTCTGGTTTTCGTGGACATGCACATGTTGTGAGCCCGAGTGCACACCGGTGCGAGGTGAGAGCTGTCCCGTGCGAGCAGCAGCCGTGTGCTCTGCTGGCTGCCAGCTGCTGTTGGCCCTGCGGGCAGCTCCCCTCCATGTGGGGGATCTGCTGCCTTTCCTGGCTTCCTTGAGCTCTGTGGGGATGAGAAGAGATGTGTTGGAAGTTCCCTGCTCGAGTCCCTTGCATGGGCGAGAACCCACACATGTGGCTGTGCGGAGCCCCGCTGAGCGTGCCCGGCCGTGCCGGGGTCCTGAGCTGCTCTGGCCATCCCTGTGCTCCCCTGCCAACGCACCTGGGAATACCTTGGAGGGAAGCAGGAAAACCAGAGCGAGCAGATAAGACAGAAGCCCCAGGCCAGCTGCTCCCTGGGCTATCTCCCCGCAGCCGAAGCCAATGCCCGGGCCGGGTTCTGTGCGGGCAGCGCATCCGTCCCACCGCTGGGAATGCCAGGAATGCTGGAGACGGAGGCACCCGTGCTGCCAGCTCGGCCAGGAGAGCAGGAGCTGCCGC